TTGCATTTTTACATGCTTTCAAACTGCTAGGTTGGCAGGAGCTGGGCCAAGTGACAGGAGCTCACTCCGTTGTGTGGATTCAATCTTACGATGGCTGGTCTTCCAACCTTGCAGTGCAGACGCTGTGGTTTAACCCGCAGAACATCCTGTTCTGGACTGAAAAAAGGAGAACTCTTTCCCTCCCCCATTCAGATTTTTCCTTCTGACCTCAGAAACAAGGGGCTCACTTTTCCACTAGTGGGGGATTAAGAGCACTCCAAAAGAACTCACTTGAGCAGCCATTGGTACTGAGCCCCCAATAGCCGGGGCTGCATTGCTGGCAACGGGAGCCACCCACGCCGGGACTGCAATTACAGTGGCCATTCTGAGCATGGCAATCTCGGCTCACAGCTCCAACATCACAGTCACACTTCTGGCAACCTGAGCATGTTTCATAGCCATAGTGCCCTTCCTGAAAGGGGAAAAGACGCACAGTTAGCTGCCATTTCGTAAGTGGAAGGCACAGCAGTATTTGCTTCTTCAGAATTTGCTTTTGTCATGATCTTTGGTTGCAACGGGTTTTGGCGGTAGTCTGAACAAAACGGGTATGTTCACGAGAATGAACATTACCACAGAGATGTTCTGATAATCTTAGTTGAAGGACCCCTATGAGCTTATCCTGTGGCAGCCAGATATCCCAAGTCATTCTTATTTTTACCGCTAACCATATATAAACATTTAATAGTTAGATTCAATGGGTACATACACACACAACCTTCAACGAGCATTCACTACACATCCATCCACTGACAGTTGTATTACATTTCCCTGAGAACAAATGGGACTGCTAAAGTGTTGTGGGGGAGAAGGACAAGTACACCAAGAACAAGATGCTGAGTGCTGCCATTAACACTCAGAAGCAGAAGCAAACTCTGCTCATATATAAACTTCCTCCACCATGATCTATAAAGAGCTAGAAAGTAATTTGCCGGCTAGCTGTGACTGTTGAACAACTGACATTGCCTCTTGATATCCCTGAATTTCTATTCATCCTGTGAATGTGGTTAGAAATGACCTCTATGTTCTATTCATCCTGTGAATGTGGTTAGAAAGAAGATGATGTTCTATCATGACCTCTATCTTTACTAGCCTATACTTCTGCAGGCACACAAGCAGTGTAGATGTGCAGACGACAGCTACATGTCTTAACACTCATACGACTGCCTCAATCTCGAGCAAGCACTCCTCCCCCCCTCAAAAAAACATGATGTTTGTCACAGAGGGAGCTTCCGCGGCTTAGGGAGAGTCCAGCTCATTTTACCTCACAGCGGTCACAATGCCGACCTGTCACTCCCGGTTTACAGTGACACTGGCCAGTCCTGGGATCGCATGACTCAGTCCCACAGGACAGACAGCTGCATTCTACAATTAAAAAAAAAGGAATAAGTATAAGTAGTGACAAGATTAAAATGTTGCAGATTATTCTCGTAGACAGAAGCTCTGAAAAGGAGCATGTCTGGCCTCTAAGAATGTCTTGCATTTCATCCTTAAAGCAAAGATGTATATTTCACATGGACTTCATCAACACCCAATCTACAAGGTTGGAGGTGTAGGGAGGGATGGAGGACAGGAAGGCTTTTGCCCTCTTCCAGCACCCAATCTACAAGGTTGGAGGTGTAGGGGGGATGGGGAACAGGAAGGCTTTTGCCCTTCCAACTACGACACAGCAGAAGCCAAGTCATAAAGGCTCTAGGAACAATTTTTTTAAATCTCAGCTGGCCATGATTACAGCTTTAAGAGTGCCTGAGCTTGCTTTTCGCTTACACCTTCTCCATCTTTTTTCCCCTTGCTTACTGTGTATTTCGGCTCTCAGTGTGTGCTCAGACAGTACAATACTACTTATCTTTACGAGTCCTCCTGGGAGGTTTTGTTGTTGTTTTTTTTTGTCAAAAAAGCAGGCCAAATAAGTTGCAGAAAGGCAAATCACTTGGGACCCTTTGGTCACATGGAGAGAGACAACAAATACGGATTGTTGCACCGATCAGTCAGTGAAACAAAAGAAAAAAAATAAGAATTTATGGGAGACTGATTGGCATGTAATATAGCATCCCTGTGTAGAGCTGTCGTATCCAAAACAAGACCCAAGTGTCCACTCTCCAGTAGAAAATGAACAGAAAGAAGAAAAAGAATAACAACAATGGTGTCTTGTTATGAGATGTGGGTTTAGAAGTTATCCCCATTTTCCATGCTTCTATATGTGGAAGTACTTTCGTCTACAATTTATCTCTGGAATTCATGTACAGTGGTGCCTCGCTTAACGATTAGCTCATTAAACCACAAATCCACTTTATGATGAGGTTTTTTCGATCGCAATAGCGATCACAAAACGATCTTTGGTAAGGGAAATTTCACTTGACGATGATTCTAAAACAGCTGATCTACGGCTCTAAAATGGCCGCCCGCTGTGCAAAATGGCTCCCCGCTGTGCTTTAGGACGGATTCCTCGCTCTACAGGCACTGAAAAGGGCCGCCCCTATGGGGGATCTTCACAGGTATCGTATTTAGCCCATTGGAACGCATTGAACCGGTTTTCAATGCATTTCAATGGGCTTTTTCATTTCGCTTGATGAGGATTTCGCTTAACAGCGATTTCAATGGAACGAATTATCCTCGTCAAGCGGGGTACTTTTCATTTCGCTTGATGAGGATTTCGCTTATCAGCGATTTCAATGCAACGAATTATCCTCGTCAAGCGGGGTACCACTGTATGTCTCCTGCCCTGTAGCTAGTTTCTCAACCTAGGGCACACTTACCAGTGCAGTTCTTTGCCACCACTGCATCACCATAAAACCCGGGAGCACACAATTCACACCGGGGCCCTGCTGTATTGTACATGCATCCTGTGCAGAATCCTGTCAGCGAGTCACAGTCACTGAAGAGCATATTAGGATCAGCATTTCCACTGCAGTCACAAGGCCGGCAGAAACTACCGATCACTAGCGGATTTCCATAATATCCCGGAGCACACCTTTGGAAGAAAAATGTACCATTTTGGAAAGCTATAGCAGAGTCATCTGCCCTCCCAATTCTTCCCTCCCTCGATGACTCCCAACAGGTAGTTAGGGATGATTGGATCAGTTAATGGGGAAATGATAGCCCCCTCCTCATCCTGTTCGCCCGTCTTTCTTGCACGATACTGACTAAATTGTTTCAGCCAAAGAAAGCTAGAGGCCCAGTTGTTATTTACCGTTCACATGAAATTCCAGCATAACCGGGTTTGCAGAGGCATTGAACTGTTGAGCCTTTATGGACACATCCCATGGCAAAGCTGAGGAGAAAATGGCAGGAAGAAAAGGGAAAAATTTAATGGTTGTTGTGGGTTTTTCGGGCTCTTTGGCTATGTTCTGAAGGTTGTTCTTCCTGACGTTTCGCCAGTCTCTGTGGCCAGCATCTTCAGAGGACAGCACTCTGTGCTCTGGTGTAGTTGGCTTGGCAGTTCTACATAAAAACTACCTTCAGAACACAGCCAAAGAGCCCGAAAAAACCCACAACAACCATTAGATCCCGACTGTGAAAGCCTTCGTGAATACAAAAACTTTTTAATGTTTATTGAGAAGAAATTAATATGAATCATGCACTGTCAAGTCAATTCTGAATTAAGCCAACTCCTTCCAGGGTTCCTAAAGGTAAAGGTAAAGGTTCCCCTTGACAATTTTTGTCCAGTCGTGTTCGACTCTAGGGGGAGGTGCTCATCCCCGTTTCCAAGCCATAGAGCCAGGGTTTGTCCGAAGACAATCTTCCGTGGTCACATGGCCAGTGCGACTTAGACACGGAATGCTGTTGCCTTCCCACCAAAGTGGTCCCTATTGATCTACTTGCATTTACATGCTTTCGAACCGCTAGGTTGGCGGGAGCTGGGACAAGCAACGGGCGCTCACTCCGTTGCGTGGATTCGATCTTACGACTGCTTGGTCTTCTGACTCTGCAGCACAGAGGCTTCTGCGGTTTAGCCCGCAGCACCACCATGTCCCTTCCAGGGTTCCCAGGTACGGAATACTCAGAAGCAATTTGCCATTCCCTTTTTCTAGGGGTGCCCTGAAACTGTGCAGGTTGCCTCTTCTGCTGAGACACACAGTGGGAAACAGAACTAGGGCACACTGGTTCCACAGCCAGATAGCTAATTTACTGAGCTATCCAGTCAGCACAGGAAAAGGTTACCAAGACAATCGTTATAATACTAATGGGATCAACAAAGAGACTGGATCTGTATTCCTGTGGATCTCTTTCAAACAATAAATTAAGTGGCATAACTATGAACCGCCAATATAGCCTTCCCAGCACACAGAAGCAGTTGGCTCACTTTGAAGGAAAAACCCAACAACAACTTCACAGAAGAGGCTCACTTGTTTGATGCAACTGAAAGAGGACACGGGCATCCTACGCACTGCCGATGTCCTTCGAACGATGAGTTCCCCACAAAGCCACCCTTACATTTCTCACAGTGGTCCCCTTCTGTGTTGTGCTGGCAGTTCTACATGAAAAAAGAAAGAAAACTCGCTTAGCACTTTCAGCAGCTGTTTCCATCATGACCTTTATGAGAACATCTGGCCGTACCTTTAGAGTTCAACTAGACCCTGGGTCCTCAGGATTCAAGAAGCTTTTTCAACATTGACATGAAGCTGTAGAGTCAATAAAGCCTATGCAGAAAATGTCTGGCAATGGACAGAGAGGCTTGCTCTTCTTTTTTGAAGACAGGAAAGATGGGAGGATGTCAACCATATGGAAAGGTGGAAGAAGTTCGAGTCTACGTTACCTGAACAGCAATCTACAAAGCTTTTTTTATTTCAAAAGCCCCAAGTCATGCAGCAATCCAGTAAGAAAACAGCATACATGGAAGCATCCATTCTGTCCAGTCGAACCAAAGCTTCCCGCCCAATGAGTTCAACCTCCTCCTCCATCAGCATTACTAAGGAGGCTTATTTTTTGAGCAAGTCTTGAAGATCTAATGATTTTCTGAAGCTCCTCTATGCTATTTAGTCTTTCAGTTATTCTTCATTATCTTGGCATTAGTAAATAAATGCACATGCAGTGCTCAGTAACAAAAAGCACCTATGTAGATTATGTAGATTACTGTACGTATGTGCCTCGTGAATGAATGCACATAAACAAAGAGAACCAGCAGTCCCTTTCCCTCCTTTCAATTGTTTTCCTGTGTCTTTCCTGAACCTATGGAGTCCAGCTCTAAAACTGACTCAAAGTAATAAGCAAAGATGTACAGATTAATTCCCTACATTGGAATTTGTTTGCTAACTAAAGGATTGCTGATTCTTTAATGGTAAAAGTGGAAATGAAGTCTGCAGTGTACTTCAGCATCCAAGCAAATTTAGGACTATGAAGGAACTGGAAGAGGAACATTTTATGCAACTGGAGTATGAGAAACATACTTATTTACTTACAATGCATATTCCAGACCCTGGGAGGCACTGATCCGAGTGACCATTGCAATTACATGGAACACATTTTCCTAGGAAGAGACCTTTGGTGTCCCTGTAATAGCCTGGAGCACATTCCTAATTGCAAAGAAAAAAAATTAGTCACTGGACGAATATTTGTGGCAAAGATACTAGTGAATCCATTAAGGGTTTTCCGTTGAACTCCCCAACTCAGTGACTGCCTGAAATCATTTGAAAAAGTTTTCTTGTTTGGCTCACTGTGAAGAGTAGCTGCCATTTTTCCTTGACTGTGTCACTGGAAAAAAAAACTTGGAATGTTTGCTATGATAATTGTAAATGAAAAGTTTTTCCTTTTAAAAGCAAACCACATACAGTAATATGTGCAAAGGTATACTGGTGCAAAAGATTGCAACCACCCATAGTCCTTAGCAGGGCAGCAATTTATTTATTTATTTATTTGATTTTTTACCCCGCCTATCTGGACTATTCGTCCACTCTAGGCAGCTAAGGTGAAGTCCTATAAATCTGTTTGGTTCACACCAAACTGAGTCTTTCCACTAAACATATACAGAATTGGACCATAAATATTTGCATAGTTAGCACTTGGTTCACTGTATGCTTACTATATTTTGAAGCTCATTAGGAAGCAGCAAATTATGGGAAGAGGGACAGGATCTTATCATATTGTTCTTAACAATACTGTTTTCAGCCCTGTTCCTAACAATCCCTAACATGGAGTTCGCTTTTTTCAAAATGCCTCACACAGAGTTGATGCGTTCATAAGAGTACTATCTGTACACATGACCCAATTATGAAAGCCAGCACAGTGGTTAGAGCGCTGGACTAGGACTCAGGAGTTGATGTATAGTCGTTAAGTCATGTCCGACTCTTCGTGACCCCATGGACCAGAGCACGCCAGGCCCTCCTGTCTTCCACTGCCTCCCGGAATTGGGTCAAATTCATGTTGGTCGCTTTGATGACACCGCTTTGGTGACAACCACCTTTTTAGCACTCTGTGCAATCCGTGAAGGGGAGGACTCAGGAGACCTGAGTACAAATTCCCACTTGGATAGGAAAGCTGACTTGGGGACCCTTGGGTCAGTTATATTCTCTCAGCCCACGTTGGCCCCCCAGAATTGTTGTGAAGATTAAAATGGGGATGAAGTGACTCATGTGCATCACCTTAGATGACAGACAGGATATGAATGTAGACACATAAATACATGTAACAAATGACTATGTGAAAACGACGACATTTGGATGACATCCTGCAGCTCAGAGCTTGGAAAAGCTATCTCTTCTACTTTTTCAGACTACCACTCCGAGATTCCCAGCAGCCATGGTGGCTGGGGGGATTCAGTCAAAAATGTGACATCTTTGGCCTCTTGTCCACCTGTGCAGCATTAGCAAAGTGTGACTGCTTTGTGGATATCCAGGTAGAGTCAATTTTCTCACCTGGCAGGAATCTCCCTTATAATTGGCTGGACACATGCAGAGCTCCACATTACTGGCCCGAAGGCCTCCACCCATTTCAGTTGCTCTCTCCAGTGTCACTCGATGAAGGGACACAGATGAAGAAATCTGGGAGAAGAGAGCACGGATCTGCAGCTGCTCCAAATTAGCCAGAACCATCATAAGCTCTTCCCTGGAGACAGGGTTGTGCGTTTCAGTGTGCCTGAAGTTATCCTAGGGAGGGAAAGAGAGCTGCATTGTAACATGAACAGACCCGTGGAACTATGAACTTGATTACACCAAGAAAATTTTGCACTGAAGCCATAGGTTACAACTGAGCTATATAACACTAGATAACACTTTTGCCTCAATAGTCAGGTACCATATTTATCGCCAAATCTGTAAACGTGTTCACTGCTTTCACTTCTTAGAAAAGATCAAAACCATAATCCAAACAATCTGTTTAAGGCATGTCCCTATCATACTTTACCTTGCATTTAATAGAAATTCTAGTTCAAAAATAGTGTCAACTAAGCTTATAAACATATGGGCTTCATTATGAGCTGCAATTAACAGAGGAACCATAGCTGCCATGTCTCAAACCAACTTTGAGAAAGCAGTTTTACCAATTTCAGTTCAACAGCAACTGTGCAAAGTCTAAATCAGGATTCCCCATCCATGCACCTTCCAGACATTTCAGATTCCGAATCTGATCAACCTCAGATGGCAGTGCCAAATGTTAGAGCACTATAGTCCAAAACATTTGAAAGATCCTAGGTTGTAGAAGGCAGGTCAAAACACCCAGTGCTGCTGAAGGGTGAAGTGGAGAGGTCCTCCCTGTCTTAGCAGTGTTTTCACCATATATCAGCTTGAGCAGAACATGGCCTTACATGCCATAGCTGGCATCAATTGTAAGACAAAACAGGTAATGGTGACCCATGAAGATAGTTCAAGATAGTAAGTCCTTCATAAATGTCAGGATACATACTTTGCTTTTATGAGGAACAATAACTACTTATTGCTGCTGGTGAAACACAAGCAATTCCTTGAAGAAAAGGGTCTAGATAGGTCCACAGACTCTCTCCTTCTGGTAAACAGTTCATAAAACTCTTTTCATGCAACGTCATTTGGATGGCTAATACTGATTAGGCACACAATCCGTGCTGACGCAGACATTTGCTTCCAAAACCGTTGATCAGTCTAGGACAATGTGGTTGTTGCTCAGTTCTTCATGACCAACAATTTAGGGACATGCAAACCCTTCAAAATACTGAGTTTGCTCATGATTCAAAGCTCAACACTTCCCTGCAGACACGGGAAATGTGGCAGAAAATGGCCTTTGAGAACACTTAGCTGGTTTCCTGTCATGGATTTTCTGATAGCAACTAGCCCAAGGAGTCACTTTCTGACGTTTCCAACAAGCCTCTCCTGAAAAACTGTTATCCAATAAAATATTAATATTCTACATTAAAATATCACAGTTAGTCTTTAAGGCGCTACGTGTTTTTGTCTTCCATCTCGTTTCTTTGAATTTTGCCTGATATGGACTGCAAATGTTTGTCTAAAAAGGGCCATCATCCTACTCCTGGGACTGCAATACACCTTCAGGTTAAACACAAACATGTTTCCGGATTCAAAAGCAAATACCCCATAAACAAAATGCCCAGCTGCAATCATCCACCAACCCACAACAACCAAAGATGTTTTTCAGGAGACTTTGATGTTCTAGAGGCCTAACCACCTCCGTGGTGTTGTCAATCAAAACTGACCTCCAAAAGTTGGAGCTGCCCTTCATGGACTTCCCCAGGTACAGGATAGGAGCCCTCCAGAAACATAATGCTCATTTGGTTTCCCTAGGAAAGAGCAGATGACAAAGACGGGACTGAATGGAAGCACAGTGTGATGAAATTCCATTTAGCCTTAAATAAAGAAGGGCAATTTGAACAGTACCTTAAGAATAACATCAGGTCGGGATTCCAAGGGTATGAACACATCACCCCTTCGGGTGTCCGAGTGCAATCCATAGCGCAAGTAGCCACCATAGGTAGAAACCTACAATTGGAGCCAGACCATGACTATTTATTCTTAGGAAGTTAAATATGTATCCCCAACAACCCAGAATCAAGTCTCCAGACCAAAATTAATTTCAATTTAGAATTATCTCTACAAAGCTGCAATTCCTAAAAAGTGGATTATGCAGGATGGCTTAAACGGTTTAGTTTATATCTGATGTTCTTCAGATTTCAGTGAGGTTAAACTCAAAGTCAAAAAGAATGACAGGTAGCTAAACAAACTGTCTCCACTTCCCAGGTACATTTTCAAAACTAAGATGAAAAGAACATTCCTCAGACTGGTTCTTATTTTTCATCCTTCAAAAAAACAACAAATGTTTGGGGCACAGTGGATATATCTCCCAGTCCTGCTCCTATCATGTGTTTCTGCTGTCAAGGGGTCTAACTCTTAATAGGTCACAGAATAGAACTCCATCTGAAGCACTCTTCGAAGTGCCCCACTGAATTTCAGCAGTAGGTTGCAGTATTACAAGGGGTGGAGGCAAATTAAACATGTGATTTCCTGGCTGCAATAGAACATAACAAAACAAAACATTTTCTTTAACAGCTTGTACTCCTTTACTGCCAGGATTCAGCAGCAAATAAAAAAAACCCCTATGGAAAGCTAGCAAAAATTTTTTAAATGGTTTTCGTGATTTGCCACCTACGTCCGGCAGCAAACTTCTACAATGCATTTGGAGCAAGTAAAATGCTTGCTTTAACTCCCCTCCACACATACATTGTTGCAGAATTTTGCTATGTGTCTGCAGCAGCTGCTAGGGAGATAAAACTCAGCATCTAACTGGCCAGAGTTGTCCATTTTTAGATGGACAGGTGGGGAAGTGTTATATGTTTTGCTTTTGTTTTTCTGTTTAGTATGAACATACTATTTTTATGATGGAACAATTAGTAGGAAAACAAAGTTTGTGAATGCATACCCAGTTGTTTCTAAAAACTCCAAGTTTTGTGTGTGTATATCTTTGTGTGAGAGAGAATCTGTTAAATCATCAATTCTCTCAGATTTGGATGTAGTTTACAATCTGCTCTAAATTTTTGAAAACTCCAAAAGACTTCCAGAGTAATGCCCACTCATATGGACTCTCTTATACAGTATGTAAAACTCTCTGAAAATCTACTGAAACACAGTAGTGTTCTGAAACATACATGCTTCAGAACTAAATATTCTGGAGTTTCCAGTGTTTTGTATCAGCAATTTGTAGACAACACACAGGAGTGTCAGGTATCTCCCCAGACTGTCTGCAAAATGGCTGGAGTTTATAATCACATGTCAAATATGGAACAGCAAACCCCCCAAAACTAGAACAGTTAAAATATATGATACTAAGCATTCTAAATCAGGTCTCAGAAATGTGTAAGGATCCTACTGGCTCCAACCAATTTCATTGTCACTTACCTGGTCTCCAAGGTATGAGCTGGGAGCATGCCAGTAGAGTTCCTGGAAAGCCTCGGGAAAATTCCGGAGATCAGCACGAACAAGCTCATCTTCCAAGCTGACGAAGATGGGAGTTTCCTGGCGCTCTCCACTCAGCAAAGTCCACCCACCCATGTCTATGAACTAGAACACAGATTAAGAAATGCCTCTGAAATCTTGCAGATGCAAATATAGACATGTAAGACTAGCCAGATTTCTTGAAAGCCTTTTAGGAAGCAATGGTAAATCATGGCTATAAGGCTCATCTCTCTGCCAAGATTAATACTGGGCCCAGCTATTTACAATACGTGCAATGGGATGGCATATGTCTCTAATAGAGCATAACAGGCTGGTGTTAAGGAGTTGGCAAAATATACGAAGTGAGTAGATTGTTCAGTAAAATATGCAAGATCCCAGTTACCAGGTTTAGTCCATTCAGATTATGCTTTTCTTGCTCTATGGCTGAGGTGGTTTAATCCTTGTGGATAAATCGGGATTCAAAAGCATTTCTATGGAAATAGGTCCATCTGAAAACCATGGTATTTAGTATGGCATAAAGCACGATGGACATCTGGGCTGTAGGAGTACCTGCCATGCTCAGTCCCATCTCATATAGCACGTGGCACCCTTGCGGAAGTGATCCTGTCAGGCTTCCTTAAGAGTGATCTGTCCCTTCCCCACCATTCAATATTGCACTAAATGAGAAGGAAGATATTACTTGAGAGGGAATGCAGCTTACAGCAGAAAAAAAAGTAATCTGCAACAGTATTAAAGTGGACAGGAAATGTATCTCTGGTTAGATCTTTGATATTTCAATTCTCTTTTAGATCCACAGTTGTGGGATATTCCACAGAGGATGCACTCCAACTTTTGCAAATAGTACGCCACTAAATACCAGGGGCTGAGATTTTGCAAATAGTACGCCACTAAATACCAGCGGCTGAGAGGCAAGAGGACGGAAGTGCTGCCTCTTGGGTCCTGCTGATCAGCCTCCCTAAAGGATCTCGTCCAGTGGTGGAAACAAGATGCTAGATTAGCCACTGATTAAATGGCAATTTGTTGGTGTCCAGTGGGTAGAGACAAGGTCACAATCCCACTACCCACCTGCTGGAAGTAATTTGCAGCCTCTGCCACCACCACTATACCTCTCTGAACAAAGCCCATTATATTTACTTAGGAAGCTAAGCGGGCTTTGGCTTGGCCGGTAAATGAATAGAAGAACATCAGGGACTTCCAGGAAGGGCAAGGAAGGAATTTTGTTTTAGATGCTTGAGAGCTACTGCCAGAGTTTACATACAAGGCTAAGCTAGATGGAACAATGGTCTGACTCAGCAAAAGGCAACTTCTTACATTCCTGCTACAACTGCCATTCCCAAAGCCTCAACTCATGCATTTACCTCCACACGGTACTTCTCAGCGCTGTGACAGCGATCTGTCGCTCCAAAGCAGAAACATTTAGTGCAGCCTTTTGGATTGCTGGCATCCAGAGAGAAGGTCCCCAGGTGGCACTGGTCACATCTTGGACCTTCCACATTTTCCTATAATTTAAAACAGATAAAAAGAAGTGTTCACCTTTCTTCACTTGCCTACTGAGTGGAAGAGAAAAGAAAGGAGGGGGAAAAAACAGATGGTGAAATTTGTTGGGTGTTTTTATACCAAGGAGTTCAAGATGGTCATTTTGGATGGCCTCAAGTATATATGGGTAAAAACTGTACTATGCTGCAGTGTATTGTTACTGAGAAGCTTAGCAATGAAAGCTTTTAGGTATGTATTTTGTTGGCTTTACTCGGGCACCTTCTCCAATACATTTTAATATTCCAGAAGAACTTTATGAGTAAAGGACATACAGCAGTTGAGGTCAAAATGATTCTACCAGTGCTATGCAAACTGCTAGTATCTGATATATTGATGTTTCACAACCTGTGTATCCATAATATACTGAAATATACTTAAAATTAATAGGAATAACACTAACAAATATGCAAACATGGGGCTCTAAATATAAGCATCTTTCTGACTCTCAAGACATCATTCCTTGCCAAGCAAGCCATAAGGGTAACTTAAATTGATAAACCGAAAGTTGGAAGTGTTCAGAACTCCAAACAGATCAGCGGATTAAAGAGCTACCAACTATCCTTTGTGGTTTCTTTGATTCCAGCAACCTCTACAAACCTCTACCTCTTCCGGCATATGTAATACTTAATTAGCTAACCAAAGTTCAATCAAGACAGATAGGGAAGATGTCTGCCTGCCTCTGAAGCTAGGTCACTGAAACATTCTTCTTTTATAGGGTAGAGGAACGGGATACAAATGAGAACATGGATAAATCCAAATTCATTGTCTCCTTTGTATCCCATGCCTGCACTCTATAAAGATCCTCAAATTCAATCCCTCTATGAGGAAAATGATCCATGGGAAAGGATCCACACAAAAGCAGTTTGATTCAGGCAGGTTTTCTGCATATTAATTCATGTGCTGCTGAAGAGAGTAACCAGTGGTGCTCTGGCTAGATCGTTTATTGTTGTACTTTACATTATGCATTTAAGTTACAGTGGTGCCTCGTTTAACGAGCGAACCGTTTAACGACGAATCCACATAGCGATGCGTTTTTTGCGATCGCTAATGCGATCACATTGCAATGTTTAGATAGGCTAAACATCGCATTGCGATGATCGGTAAGCGTTTCACTTACCGATCTTCGCACTGCGATGTTTAGAAAACAGCTGATCGGCAGTTCCAAAATGGCCGTCGGGTGCAGAAAATGGCCGCCTGCAGCGTTTTCACGCCCTGCCCTCGCTTACTGGGCAGCGAAAATGGTGGCTGGATGGGGGAATCTTCGCTTACCGGTGAGTTTTTCCCCAAAAGGTTCCCCCTCCCCCCGCATAGCGACGAATCCGGATAGCGACATTAATCCTGGAACGGATTAACGTTGCTATGCGGGGCACCACTATATTTGCTTTCCCATCATGGTTTAATCAAGATTTCGTTCTTAATGTATACTGTACTTTGCAATAGTTAGCTGCCATTAATGCCATTTTTGGTAGAAAAGAAGAAAGTAGATTTAATGAAGGCATTTGTGCTTCTTTGACAGGACTCACTGATCCATAGGCTCCCATCCAGGTTTACAGTTCTAAGATTAAGATTGATTGATTGATTAAGCACAGTGCACGAAAGAAAGAAAGAAAGAAAGAAAGAAAGAAAGAAAGAAAGAAAGAAAGAAAGAAAGAAAGAAAGAAAGAAAGAAAGACATCCTTTCATGTTTATGATCAGCATTTTTTTCTTTTTTCCCCCCAGTGGAAAAGTCTTCTTCTTTATCATAGGCAGATGGAATAAGGAGATGATATGAACAGAACGTGGAATTTTTCTTGCTTTATGAATCAGGTACAATCAATCCACATTGCCCTGAAATGCTTTCTAAGGTCTTTCCTGCTTTGCAGAATTTTACAAGTCAAGTTTGCACAGCATTGTCTTAGAAGGCTTTTACTACTGTTATATCAGATGGTGTCATCATTGAGTTGCTGTTGAACTAAAGTCAAAACCAAGGTTCAGAATGATACCTTATCTGAAAATAAAAAGACTGAAGGTTTGTTTTTCCAATGCTGCTCTCAAGCACAGGTCAGTGTGGATTTACCTGTTTGCAAAGCTTCCCTGCAAACATGACCCAGCCTTCAGTTGTGTCTTGGGCTTGAATTTCCATCCTCATAATAACTGTTATAATTTTCCCCAAGATTCTGGGATCAAGGCAAATCACATTCCATGACCAAGAATTTTACTTCAATACTTTTTTTGTTACTTTGCTATGCAGAGAGAGAATAACCGAGTAGTGACATGACATCACAACTGCAAAGAATTTTATGCCTTTTGATACTACTGGGTATTGAAAACATCACAATTCTTTAATAAATCCCTAAGCAGACTGACCTTACAGTGGCACTGCCCAGTAACTGGATCACAGACACTCGGCTTGGTCCCTGCCTGGTGGCAGTCACACTTCCTGCAGTCTGGGTATCCATAATAGCCAGGTGCGCAAAGATCACACTGACGTCCTATTATGTTGGGCTTGCACCTGGAAGAGAAAAGTTTCATGGGTTTCCTTCCATGTCAGCTTCTAACTCATGTTGAATTAACACAACTGAATGGGAGTGCCATATTTGGCAGCTTTACGAAACTCATAATAAAGCAACGATGATGACATCTCCAACAGACAAAATAAAAAGCAACTTTGACACTTAAAAGCCACACCTCAAAATTCCTGAATCTGAACAAGAAGTAGCAATATTAAAAATGTATGCAAATGAAACTAAACTTGATGCAGACAAGACGGAGCTGCTGCTAGTGAGCAGAAAGTCAGATTCGGGAACTGGGATTCAACCTGTTCTAGAAGGGGTTGAACTCCACCTAAAAGATCACGTTTGCAGTCTGGAAGGGATACTTGATTCAGTACTGTTGCTGGAACCCGAAAGCTAGCAGTGGCAAGGTGTACCTTTGCACAGCATCTTTCCTGAGTTGACCTCAGCGTCTGCTACTGACAGGTATAATGCATCAAAAACTGGATGCTCCATGCAGCTACTATAAATAAGCTGCCCTTGCAAATATACAACAATGAAGAATACAAGTCCTTTACATATAGAATAGAAAGGTTTTCATTTTAATGCATGCCTAGTGTGTCCTATTAGTGCCCTGTTTAAGGTAATGCATTGCAAACTATATTATTTTTTTTAAACTTTCAATATTTGTTTTCTTTGTATTATTTTATCCCTACTAAAACAGCTAGTAGGGATAAAATAAAACAAAGTGTATCCAGAATTTGGTGAAGTTCTAGGGGAAGCACAGAACCTTGGTAAGGTTTTGCATCTCTAGAAGCAACCACAGGTTTATTTGCTCTCTAAAAAGATGACAAGGGTTCTCAATTTAAAAAAAAAAATAAGGAAAGAAGTGCAGCAGCCAGTAAGTACAAACAGATGCAGAACACACACATTTGAAATGAAGAACTATGCTGAATGAGGAGGCAACACACTATTTTTCAGATGAACAGAATCAAGGGACAGCCAAGTAGGTAAGGAAATCTACTTTTTGCAAAATAAAATATACAAATTATGCCCAGAGCTCAGCCAACTAGGGAGCTTAGAGGCATCAGAACATAACTACTATGTTCTGTGGTTAATACTATATGAATCATTGACAATCACTACTGTTGTTTTTGGTTGGCAAAAGAATTACAGTCTTGGTACAGCCCAGCGCACCATCAATGATATATAAACTCATGTTCTTTAAAAACTAGGACAATCTGTTGCAGAATTACGCAGGGAAAGGAGAGAACAACATGTGGTCTTGCTCAGAGTCTAGACTCTCATTTAACATTTACTTTGGTGGTGATTACTGGAGTTTCCCAACCACTGGGTTTCACTTGACAACGCGTAATACCACGAAGAGGTACAGAGATGCTGCTTATCTGGTTGCCATGGCCAGTGTTACCCACCTGCACTGTCCACTGTCTGCATTACAACCGGGCTCCAGCTGATCTTGGATCCCAGGACTGGAACAATTGCAGTCCTCACAGCCGACCAGCGGGTGGCAGCCAAAGGTCTGGGGCTCACAGACTGTACACTCTGGTTTAATGGTGCGCGGTGGACAGATGCACTGCCCGGTCAGTTCATCACACAGGCGTATTCCACAGCCACAGGCTGCAAGGAAAACAAGGGAGTGTGAAGCACTAGGAGAAGACAGAGTGACCAGCACACAAGCAAGGTGCATGGACTCTTGTGTGTGCGTGTGAGCTCCAACCATTAAATTTAAGTTTAAAAAAAAAAAGGTTAAGGAAACAACAGCTGCTCTGCTGACTTCCTCTTCTCGCTGTACAAAAGTCAGCGAAGAAAAGATTAGCGGAGTATTCCTTCATTTGGGACTGCTAAGTGTAAGAAGCATCTTGCTCCTCAGACTGTCTAAAAATGAGGTGGGGTGTCAGTTCTGGTACGAGCAACTAGAAACAAACAGCCTGGTATACTGCCGATTAAAGGAAGGAATGTGGCGAGACTACATTCTTACATAGGTAGACCACTGACAGCTGATTTATGAGTTGTTCTTGTTCCAAAATCTGTAATGTTCACAAATGCAATGCACAAAAGCGGCAATTGAATCACTGTACATTTTGGGGGGGAAATCAGGATAAGACCATATGGTCCTCAGCACAATAGAAATGAAGGAACAGGTGATACCTTTATTGGACCATTATGAAAATAAAACAAAAAAAGCACATTTTTTGTGATAATTCATTTTTCTCAGGCTGTGCAGCAAGTTCTCGTGGGTTGTTCAAAAATTATATGCTTTTATCGAATTCCCAAAGTCTCATGGCCGATGTAGAGGCCAGGTGTAACTTCTTAGATGGAAACACTTGCACTGTGTGTGTAGGTTTCAAACTCCTCCTTAGCCAGTATTTTTGAATTTATCACCCATTTCTTAAACAAAGAGAAACCAAACACGCTGAACCCCCCTCATTTCCTCCTTCTACCTTCTTTTGAAACACAAAGACTTTCTATTTGGCTAGGGAAACAAGGTGACCCAGACACATGGCAAGCCTCCATTAGAGCTGGGATTAAAACTCTTTTTTTAAAAACTTAAACCATTAGGAACAGCCACTTATAGTCAAACTGAAGCCAAATC